GCGGCGGACGGCGGCGATGGCCGGCCGCGTATTTCTCGTGCTGCTGGTGTTCTGCTTCGTCCGCCGCTCACCGGGCTTCATCATGCTAGGTGAGGACGATGGATGGCCAGTGCGTTCATCATGCTGTAACCCTTACACTACTGCGCAGCGGAGGTGTGGAAGGTATCCCAAAGTTATTGCGCTGGAGTGAGTGAGTTACGTCCGTAAGATGAGTTAGTGGATATTGTGAGGCATGTTCTGTCCGATCGCAGCAGTGGGAAATTGAGTGGCCAGCACCAGCTGTGGGCTTCATCTCTTCAATTGTTTGTGAATTTGGCATGCTTACATGTTACCAGACTTCAGACTTCCTACCCCTTACTGTTCTCCATTTGTTGTTTGTCTCAAATTGTCAATATGGACGTTTTCAAACATACTGGAATATGGCGGTGTTCGCATCACCGCATGATGTCTTGCGGTCCGAAGCCATTACGAGAATCATAGCATTAGTACTGAACGATGCCACTCCATTTTGGTATAACGGAGACAATTTTGTTGCTAGGCGTGACAATAAGTGAGTCGTATTTCTTCTAGGCCATTCACCACTCCTTTCCAGGCGCACTACCAGGATTTCATGATGCTGGCGGGTGGAGGAATATTAAAACTGACGCAATACGGCCATCCCTATACATTCTGGTTGGGAACGTATACTTTGCAGTACTTCTGCACAACCGGTGCGAAGGCGACCGTACGTACACACCGTAGAAACGTACCGTACAGGGTGCATTGTGGGCCTTTCCTAGAATGGGTTTTGTTGTAGAACTTTTGTGGTATAAGACGCACAAAGAATAGGAGCAAATTAATTCAGAAAATTGTTCAAACTACCGTATAATGTAATCGTTGTAAATTTCGAGGCAAAATGTAACTCGGGAGGGGGTGGCTTATCGAGGCTCATTTTGCAAAGTGACGCATAACGACACTTTTGGCAAAACATTTTGTTTTGAAAGCTAACGCAGTACTTTTTCGAGTGTTTCTCGAAGTCCATGAAGATTATGATACGTTCCAAGCCCTTGCGAGTCATCTCCTGCAAATAGCAATACCTTTTTAACATGGAGTTAGGGCAGCGCACCAACCACTTTTCCGACTAAATTCATTCAAAACTAGAATAAAGGAGGAGTGTGAGGAGGTTTTAAAAGGTTTGAAAATTTGAAATCGCGTCATAGGGGCACCATACTGGCAACAAATGACATGAACAATATGACGCGTCGTAGGAGACACCATAGTGGCAACAAGGACATGGAGCTGGGTTATGATGGAAAAACCAGCAAAAGGTGCGATTTTTAACCTAAGTTTTGAAAGCTTTTTTCCTTTTTAAAAGAGGACCTGACATCGGGAACTAACACAAATGAATGTCTCATACGTGAGCGTGTATAACGCCCCTTTTGATGCATAAAACGTTGGTTTCCAAGACGTGGTTTTTGGAGAACCAGGTAAAAAGCATTTTTTGTGGGGTTATTGAGTTGGATCAGTCGAGCCAAACTCAGTTTATGGTCTGAAGAACACCATGCTGTCCAGTAGTTAACTGCGCGTCGATTAGTGTTTTTCTTGTTTTAATCGACATGTGGCAAACAAAAAACACGCAGGAAATCAAGCTGTGTCAAACAAGACAAACTTTAACAATGATGCTTTTCAGTGACTTAAAAACACGGTTCAAAAAGTGTCTGTCACTTTTGGGGAAATGCCTATTTAAATGTTATTGGGGTGTTTGCAACGTGCTCGGAGTGTCTCAGCCTGGGACGGGATACAATTAAAACATTTCTTCAAATTTTAGGAGGACAAAGTTTTCGTATCATCGTTTTTGAAGTTGGTGATTCAGGCAATGATTCAATTATTTCGGCGCTTTAGTTCGGGGGGGGGGGGGTCCGCAAAGTAAGTAATACTTTTCGCGGTGACGTCACGCGCATTCCGATCAGCTGGCTAAAAGGGGTGTATTTTGGTCCTTTTTTGCGAAATCGGCAACTTAGCGAGTGACCTCACATGACCTGGACATTACCTAGATTAAATTTGCCCACGTCAGAAAGAAGCCCGGTCTATCGTGTAACTACAGATCTCGGTTGGTCTGGGTCTGTTCTGAATTGTCAGGTGTAAAGTTTTCCACAAAGGTATGTTGGGTGCGTTTTGGGCCTGTCCCTGCGCAGGGTGCTGGTCCCACGAAGACAATCTAACCTATCCTAACCTATCCTAACCTAACCTAACCTAACCTAACCTAACCGAACCTAACCTAACCTAACCTTACCTAACCTAACGTAATCTCACTTAACCTAGCCCAATCTAACCTAACCTGACTTGACCTGACCTGACCTGATCTGACCTGGTCTGAACTAACCTTATCTAGCAGATATGAAAGCCACAAATACATTTTTGGCGTCAGCGCCGGCATCGTGTGGCATACTGCCAAATCTGCGGAAATTTTTGACATAGGTATTTTTGTGATAAGATTAACGCATTTACCGATTTTGCAAAGGCTGTCAGCTTTTGTACAATATTGATTAATGCCGTCCTTGGCCTCCAGTGCGTAAAAGCGAGCTTTCCCTGATATATGAATGTTGTAATTATTTTCAAATTCAGAGCGCGAAAAGCTTATGTTCGTCTCCCGAATACGTGGGTCCCACAGACCTTGGGATCGCCATCCCAGCCTCTGGATACGCCCCTGCTAATTGATGTGTGTATTTACTAGTGTTGACCAGGCTGCCCTGAAAAAGCTGTCTGCTGGGGAACGCCTTTACCGCTAATTGTTCTTGCGTGTATAGCAAGCCCCAAACAATACGTTAGACAGTCATTGTATGTGGACGTTGATTGAATAAACGCATTTAGGGAAGAATACGAATAACACAGGCGGAATTACGTCCATCATACAAAAGCTGAGCCGATTTGGTTCTCGTAAATATATGATGGTTGTTACAAGCACACTTTTTATCGCCATCTGCACCCACACCATCCGCCTGCATTGTCTTGCAGCGGCTGCATAGCTCACCGATGCTACCGCGCCGAAAAGTAATGAGCGTCTCAAAGTTAATAATGCATCTGCTGCCTGCCACAGTGCGTTTCTCCAGCACATTAACAGCACTTGAATTATGCAAACGAACGGATAATCGATATAAGCCAGGTGATATAGCGTCGCAGATATTCCCTGAACTACTGTCATGAATATCAGCTGAGCGAAATCCTTTTTCAATTATCCTGAGACATTGCCGGAGAAGATATGTGCTGCCAGTGTCAGCAAAACTGCAGGAGGCATTCTATGTTCGGCATAATAGATGAAAACAAAAAAACAAAATTTTCGCAGTCACTTACCAATAAGAGTACTTTGGGTATTGGAAACAATTGATTTGAAGCTATTTTTGTCTAGGGGTTTATAATGCCTTTTGGGTTTGTAGACTATGGGTAACCACATGAATACCCAAAGTCCATGCATGATCAGAGAACATTCCTTTGAAGTTTTGGACGTCTTTACGTTTTTTCATTTTTTTTTTAGTGTTTCATGTGCAGTCATGGCCACCAGTGACCCATTCCCTCTTCTCTTCATTGTTCATTGGTGGCCGGTGAATAGGTGACCAACGTAATAAATTGGCCGTTTTACGACGAGTGACTGAATGAAAACAGATACCGCCGCGGCTAAAGTATGCATTAACACGCGCTCGGGTGGGAGTCAAATTGACTCCCCGAAGGTTTTTTCCAGAACGGTTTCGGAACGGCGCGGCGTAGCCACGCCACATTTTTCATAGCTGTAGACAACTGAATGGCGGATTGCTTGGTATTACAAATTTAGATTACTTTGTGAGGTCGTTGACCCACGGCAGGTCAGGGTGGGGCCATGGATTCCGCGAAGTCAATTTCTAGGAGATCCTTCAATCTGATGCAACAACGGAGGTTAGACAAAGCCACACACCTCTGAGATACTCTCGTAGACAACAAAACAATTGACTTAACAAATTTCACTGACCTAATGTCAGTTTGAAAGTCATGCCAAGGTCAAAACCAATTTCTTCTGTTGCTCTAGGACTTGCTGTATGGAGTAGTTGCTGGTGCTCACGTTGAATTTATTTATAACAGGAACTGCTTTGTACGTCTTTCGTGGACTTCTCAAATGTTGCAATAGGTCACTGACCTAAGATGACCCAGGTCAGCATTTTGGTTCTAAGAACATACTACTTAGCGTAATCTTTGTCGCTTATTCAAATGCAAAACTCAAAGCAGTCTTGTGTGTTTTTGGTCACCATAACCTTTAAAAGGTCAAAAAAGGTCACTGACCGTTAATGAGCATGTGACCTTTTGCTTAGAACAGGTATCTAGGTTCGAAGGACACTTTCGATCCAGCTTGGAGACTGACCTTGTTTGACCCTATTTGACCCGAAGATCATGACCTAGGAACCTCCAACTTTGACCTCAGTGATTTCATGTACAGGCCAGCATGTTCTGTGAATTTGGTGTTTCTAGCTCTCTTAGTTCCCAAAATCTGAGGGGTCAGGTTGACCCCCAGCCGCGCGAAAGGTATCCCACCGGCCACGCGGGCGCATGTTAAAGCGAACCTTCTCCATCTGTATAGGGGTTTGAACTGAAATATCTATCTTGGAAATAGTTTGTTAACCGTCAAATTTTCCCATTCCAATACCCATGCGGCGATCAAGGCCAAGCAAAATTTAATTGTCGAGTCGTTCTTATCTGGTGTTCTGGAGTGCGATTTACAGACAAAAACGACCGTCAATTAGCTCTCAATCGATGTTGTGCAAGTTACGATGACGTAATTAAACAATGACGTATTAACGGGCGTGTTAACTAAACAGAGAGTTTATGTTGTCTGGAGCAGTCCTTTCCAATTAAAAGTTAACCAATAGCTGCAGGTAAGCTTATTTCATAATATGGGATGCTTGCTTCAATACCTTCAAATGTGGAACATTCTCTTGACGGCTTCGTCATCCTGTTCTGTGCTGTCCTTGAGTACCGTATCCGCTGTAATACGAGCGTTACATTATGGTGTGTGTATTGTCCGACAGGATAAAAAGACGCCCGCTTACACGATGATGTGGCCCAAAATGCCGAATTGCGATCCAGTCTGACGACGTGCGTCTGCGGTTAAAAAGGCACCTGCTTTTATGTTGTGCTGCTGAAATTCCGAAGCACTGGTGCAGATTACAACGAACTTTTGCGGCTATCGCTGAGTTTGGGTCTTCTGCAGATATGCTGTCGAATATCGACCGTTCAACATCGCGCCGGTTGCCAAACGTCAGCCCACACCGGTGACCTTGACATGGTGGCCAGTGGGAGCGCTCCGAAATCAGCTGAACCGACCGAACCTCACTTGCAGCTCCTGTGGAGGCAGGCGGACATTAGTTTCAGCTACTGGGCCCGCGAGAGGCGGCGTCAGTTTCGGTGTTCACGTCGATGACAATACCTCTCCTAGGTTCTATGAAACGCCAAGGAATGGCCCGTTTTGTACAAGGCGACGGATCTCGCAGGTGTCTACGAGAATCCAGCATAATCAAGTTGATTTTTTCAGTTTACCAAGGAAGTATAGTGGAGTGCATTTTGAACCAGATCGCTACATTTGAAAAATGATATTCGTTGAGAATGATGTATGGCAACAATGGTATCCAAGTGCGATCTTCTCTGTGTTTCAATATTCATTGTTTCGTGATGGCTGATAGAAGTTACGTTTTGCTCGGCATATGCTGAACAGATGCTAGCTAACATCATTTTAGCAAGTCGTCTCAGACGAACACGACTAGCCTTCCCTGAGTTTACGGATTATCATCGATAAGCGAGGTATGAGTAAAGAGTAGTCTCTTCATGGTTACAAAGGGCAAGACTGCTAATAATGTTGTGAATTAAACAAGGCAGAAACGTAGGAAGATATAGCTTTTCAAAAACAGAAAACTTGCCTAATCGATATGCAGATTAGGCAAGTGCCATATTAGGCGATGTCATCAATCAGGGTCTGACAATGAAAGCAAATCACAATTTTTTCAAGGGCAATGACTTTCCACGTAGCTAAGTGTTACCAACATGACTTGTGTTGGATGTCACTTGAGTGCTGATTCTAGATGCGAATGCAATTAAGCTCCAAAATAAACAGCATTTACCTGAATTATTCATTGCTATTTAGATAGATATGGGCTTTTATCTTCGCCAACAGATCTGCTTGTGCCGCATGCGCGGCTATTGACGCCGGGAAGCAGAGGATAATCTTTCTCTTTTATCTTTAATCTGTTGGAAAATTTTATCCAGATATTTTTAGTGGATGAATTTCTTGGATCAGAGCCCACGCTGCGCAATGCTTGTTGTGTAAGCCCTGGCCTCGAACATCCTATCGTGCTATTCCAGGTTAGGGACAGAATTCGGCGGCGAACGTTTAACGTACACCACTGCCTGGCATGCTCCGTCCTCTCCACCGACGTGGCTTGACCTAACGCGAGCGCGGACGCAGCCACCGGCCGTAGGCCATGTTTGTCAAGGACAAATAGAGAACGCCTAAAACAACTCGAACCCACCCCGCCACGGAGGTGGGGATCGGAGGGCAGGGACTTTAACCAACTGAGTCATCGGGACGAACTCAAACATCATGAACCGGAACGGGCTGGGAAATGCATTAAGTAATCTTGTCATGCAATGATGAAGGTTACGTTGAACTGGAGGCACAACGTGGAGAATTACAAACGAAAAGGTAATATTTCTGAGCGATGTGTCTTTTGATATATTGGACCCTAATGATTACTCGGAGAGCGCATCTGGGTTTTCAGAGCCTTCGAGGTGGTCAGGCATATCCTGGAGGCTATTGCGGTGTACAACTAATACTCGGATGAATGGCTCTGATCTTCTCTGTTGTAGAGCTTTCTATGAAGGAAACAGCGGGATAATTTTTTAAAGGGCCAACTTAGTAAGTCATATGGCGACAGATGGCATCGCATAGGCTGGTCTTAATAATTAGATGAAAGCAATCTTTCCTTGCGCTATTATCGTATGTTCTCCATTCGAGTCAACATCAGCGCATCAGCGCGGCGGATTTTCCACCGTCCTCTCCACCACTATCATGGCGGTACCAGAGCACCGTCGAGCACCCTCGGTCCTAACCCTAAACCGACAAATCAAATACGCTGACAAACACTGCGTGAGATCACACAGACTAGGGGATCACATCTCCACCGGGATCAGCATGACTTACGGCATGTAGTTGCACTCGTGAGCAGCGTCGTCGAAGCCCAGGTTGTCGGGGCAGGTGAAGTGGAACGGAATGAACTCGTTGCACTCGTAGAAGCTGTGACAGTCGTCCGGGTCCGAGAAGAGGCCGTATTCGGTAGAGCATTTGAACGGCGCTGGCGTGGTGGAGGGGTCGGCACCTGGTGGGCGGCGGCTCAGGTTACTGTAACTCGCTAGCACCGTACTCTGGAAGTCCAATGCTTACATGCTGGCATGACGAGTGAATGCTGGCATGGTCTGTGATTGATATGAGAGCCAGGCGCTGATGTGTGCGGCTTATGAACTATGGTTGCACCGCTGTCACCTGATAAGAGCTCCGACTGTGCTGTTTTAGGGCTCCACTGCACAGACTGTACAAACGAAAGGAGGCGAAAAACAATTGGCCTTGCACATCTGCTGTTCAGAATTGGTCTATGTTGCGGACGCTCCCGTATTTGGCGGGGTTGTACAGACGCAATACCTTTGTGTATCCGTCTTGGGCCATTATTGATTGTGTTGAAAGTAGCTGACGTTCTCAAGTCAGGACTGGGTCAATGGTGGTACAAGTGCAGCTATGTCGCATATGGGCGCCCCGCAAAATCATTGTGGAAGCTAAAACTGTACACGAATAATGAAGAGGACAGCGGAGCAGCGAATCAGCGTGCGGTGAAGATCTGCTGACGCGTGCTGATCGACTGGCGCGTGCTGATCTACTGGCGCGTGCTGATCCACTGGCGTGTGCTGATCGACTGACGCGTGCTAATCTGCTGAGGCGTGCTGATCTACTGACGCGTGCTTATCTACTGATGCATGCTGATGTGCTGACGCGTGCTGATCTACTGGCGCGTGCTGATCTACTGACGCGTGCTGATCGACTGGCGCGTCCTGATCGAATGACGCGTGCTGATCTACTGACACGTGCTGATCGACTGGCGCGTGCTGGTCGACTCGCGCATGCTAACCGACTGGCGCGTGCTGATCGACTGCGAGCCTGACATCAGCACTACGTGACGCCCAATTTGTTTAAACGTAGCGCTTGATTTGGGTGTATTGTATGGTGTGAACTTCGAGCTGTGTTGTGCTTTGAGGATTTGAGGACAACTCTTGGCTAGCTGGGAACCGAAGACGCTAACCAATCGGTCACTATGTCCCCCCCCCCCCCCCCCACAGGTCGCTGTGAGTCTGACAGTGTTGGGTTGACAAAGTGAGTTGCAGACGGTACATGCCCCTACTCGATGCGGTCAATGTCGCGTGGTAATCCGCTCGGGTCACCGGGGCCTGACATCAGTCCTGAAAAATCGCTCGGAAACCGCCGAACTGTTGCTTGTGCACAACTGAATGTGCCCCGTTCGTTTCCGAATCGAAAGGTGGTGACCCCGTTTGGTTGTGATTTCCCGTTGCCGGGGATAAGAGCCGGGTTTGGACTCGCGTTTCCACGCTTTATGGCAATTGGCGCATTCAACTGGGCGAGTTTGCAGCACCAGTGGTGCCCCGCTGGTGGGACGCGATCCCATATTTCATACCGTGGTGTGACCATGGTGGCCTAGTCGCATGTAAAATGTCACGTGCACAGCTCGCACCGGCACCTAGCCGTGACTTCATTTGTGCATAACGGACGGGCGGATACTACGGAAATTGTAAAATAGACGACAAGGCTAGCATGACACGATGCGCCATTTGTTTAATGGCTTCGTGTGATATAAGAGTATTTCACATCTCGGACTGCTAAGTCTTTCCATTCGCTTAGTCGAGGAACATTTTTTGTGACTTGTGCGTCGCTTGTCAGTACTCATCTTACTTTGATCTGCTCTGATGATATTTATTTCACAGTCGTCTTGCCTAAAATTTGGAGAGACCGCCACAATATTTGCCACATTAGCTGATTATGTATTGTGTCCACCAATCGGCAGACAGCTGCACGCCAGAGCGGATGTGTGTACCAGTACAGTTACACGCTGTTGTCCCAGCCGAAATATTTTGGTCCCGTTCCCGGCAGATCTGGGGAGGGGAGGGGTGCGTCCCAACGTATTGGGGGGGGGGGGGGAGGGGGCGGAATGCCTTTCACACGTCTAGACACCCGTCGGGAGAGCGCGTAAGGTATACAGGATGTGAGATAATTGTCCAATTTCAACATGACACCCGTCAACGCGTAACCAGCTGCGCACGGAGACAAAGATGAGATGAGAGTGGCATTGTACACCGACAGAAACGGAAGCTTTGGCAGTGGGGGAACTTATGGTTATTGCGACCAACGCATTGTGAAGCTCTGATTTTTTTTTTGCGTGGATGATGCGTGTTTTGTGACTTGTTTTTGACTGGTGACTTGTTTTTAGGTCTGTGTTAATTCCATGGGTCCAGCTTGGTCGGTGTAGGCAGCAGAGTGTTGTATGTCTTTAAGGAACGCTACGACGTCATCGTGTCCTTTTTACGAAGCACCAGCGACTGCATTGGCCATCTTTACGCTCAGGAGCCATGAACCGACCAGTGTTGAACCCTGACCTCCCAGGTCAGAGTCCGACGCGCTAGCCACTCGGCCATCAAGCTCCCGTTCGGGGTGTCGTATTCGAGAATTTTTCGAAAAAGCGACATTGGTCGCTTCCCGGGCGATCACTGGCGTCACTATGGGACTGACAACGGAGGGCTGACCTGGTTGCTTTGAAGACAGTCCAAACGCCTGCCCTGTGCAGCTGGCTTGACGTGGTTATCTGCTCAGATCGTCGAAACCTAACACCAATCCTGCGAAAACGCTCAAAGACCAACATATCTGTTGTTTGTGCACGAGCACACACGCGCGCCTGTGAGCATCGGTTCGCATCTTCACACACTGTTTTGTCCGTTCTTTTCCTAGTTGAAATTCGCTGATGCCATTTCGCTGTGACCACTCCCTGCCAACCTGCGAACGGATTGCGACGTGCGATCCGGTGACCTCTGGCAACCCGCCGATATCGTGTTTCCGATGTGGAGCTAATGGGGTACGTTTGCGCCGACTGACGACGTCCGGTTGTCAGATACTGTCCAAAATATGATACGATAATGTGCCTCTTCTGGTCTAGCTGCACGTCAAATGTCACGTGGCCAGCTGACGTCGGCGCTGGGCTGGCACTGCATGTGTGGGTGGCGGACAGACGGATATCATTTATTTCATATTTGTTTGTAAGCGGGAAAGACCTTAAGCCACCGGCGTTGTAGCCGGCCTGGGGGTTTTGGTTACAGGCTGAGTCCTCCCGAAAACAAATGGATTTCGCTTCCACAACTTGGAGGAACGTTCTGTTCACGTACGTAAAGCTCCTTTTTACTTGTCATTTGAAGTCTTTGCCTAGCAAGTATTCAACCTTCATTATTCCTGGAGTTAAACGTTAAGCGACGTTGTCAAGCAGACATTGGTATGAATGACGCTTTAAAGTAAACATGGTTACTGGCGCCCACGAACACTGTCTCGAAAGCAAGGTGGTCTTATAGTTTCGACCAATGCCTGCTTGATAACATCTCTTTACCGTTCCTTTCATGAAAGGCGGTTACTCGCCTTATACCAACTCAAAATGCATATTTACAACGCAAATGTAATGTCGACAGTGCTTCTGGGGTCCACTTCTGATCCAGTGTACCCATTATCATACGGGTGGATTGTTCATACCCTGAAAGGTTTCATGAAAGCCACTCTGTTCTCTCAAAATAACTTCTAAAGGGTCGAGCGTGTGCACGTGTTTACGCATGCAACACCAGTTAGGAATGTGGATGATAAAAAGCCGTAGATAGGGCGCACGACCCGTTTTTGAAAAGTTTGCGCTCAGAAGTTGAATATTATTTTAATTTGGATGCGGCTGCGAGCCAGAATATTGTAACTGAACTGTATTATGCATATGTATGGTAGCAATGCACGATAATACATGTCACTATGAGCGCATAGCTGAATTCCACTCTGATAACGGAAACACGTAAGATGCCGTAGGAAATGGAGCACAACGCTCAAACAACGCACGAGCGCAAATTAAGCACAGCGACAAGAGCCCGACGTTCGCCACTGAACGACATGAAGTAGCCGTTCCGGAACCTGACCGCCGACATGCCGACCATTTGTCTCCAGGGACCGCGGAAGCGGCCGATATCGCGAAGGAGTTGTTGTTTGTGATTATATTGGCCGCAGCAGCGGTAATAACAAGCAAATGAAACTGGTTCTTCGCTGTCCCCTTCAGCCAGCCATATGCGACGTCCTGGGCGGCGAACGGACGCCTAGGCGTGCATACAGCCATGATGATGGTGGGACTAGCGGTCCGGCGTCCTGCCCAGGGTCAACTAGAGGGGCTGCCCAGAGAAACATGGTCACACTGCGTTCAAGTCAGCTTGAACCGCTGCCGGGACCAGTGTTACATCGTCCGATGAAATAGATCACTCTTCAATGCTAATGAGAATAGTTTACATGTAGTTGGCATATGTAGCGGAATCGGGGACGGGTGCCAGCGTAATGGTGCCTGACCCCCGTACTCAAGGGATCTATAGGCTTAGGCCACTGTCAAGAACGAGGGAAGGCCACAGTAGTGTAAGAAGTCTCGGCACCAGGGGTGTGGTCAGACGATCCGGACGTGAGGAAACGATTTCTTGCCTGAAAGCGCTAGCTGTCTTTTGCCCGAGAGCACTGCCTGTCTGTTGCCCTAGAGCACTGCCTGTCTGATGCCCTAGAGCACTAGCCGTCTGTTGCCCGAGAGCACTGGGTGTATGTTGCCCAAGAGCACTAGTCGTCTGTTGCCCAAGAGCACTAGCCGTCTGTCACCCGGGAGCACTGGCTGTCTGTTGCCCGAGAGCACTAGCCGTCTGTTGCCCGAGAGCGCTGGCTGTTTGTTGCCCAAGAGCATTGGCTGTGTGTTGCCCGAGAACTCCGGCTGTCTTTTTCCCGAGAGCACTGGTCGTCTGTTGCCCAAGACCACTGGCTTTCTATGGCCCAAGAGCACCGGCTGTCTGTACAGAATACGGCATACGCTGACGGAATGGCAAACCCAACGCACGGCCCCATGCGCGATGCTGTCGGGATGAAACGTCGCGTCTTTAGTTGAAACTTTAAGCCCCCTTATGGCACGATAGAACTCCCACTGCCTGGACTGTTTTTACTGTTATGGATCGATTCAACGCCAAGCGAGGTCGGCTCACCTGCGCTATAGAGACAGACTGAATGAGGAACAGACTGAATAAGGAGCAGACTGAATAATGCTTAGTCGTGCGTGGGACACGAACACACTAGAGTATGAGTGTTGCCTGCTACCGAACATTTCACGAATCCCAGTAGTAATCCTGACCATTGAGGCTGATGACAAGATGTGACGAGGCATACTTAGTCCCGTAACATACACTATTCAAGCAGCAAACATCGCATCCCGTTAGAGCCGATCTTCGTCGCCGTGTGCGCTTTCTGTCCGCGGCGTGTTTATGCGATTCTGTGCCGGAGCTTGTCTTAAAAAACGTCACATTTTATTTGCGTTTTGCCCTCAAAGGGTTTTAGAACACGCTACGCGCTTTTAATTCGCGGCAAACTGTTTGCTAGCAGCATATGATGTCCACGCTTTTGACCTCTTGAATCGTGTGAACGTGGCTGCCCTGTTAATTTTTCTCCTCCACCACACGACCCAGGGGGTCTCATACACGTCCACCCACGCACGTACCTCCTGCGAGAACGACGGCCGCTAGGGCGCAGAGCAGAACCACTAGTCTTCCGGTCATGTTCTCGTCTGTGTCTGTCACAAAGAGGCGCTGTGATGGGAACGCCCGCCACTGACGACGACTCTCGTGTGCGTGAGGTGGTCAGAATGGGGGCGACTCGAGCGCGTCACCTTTAATATCACCACCACCGCCACGTATCGGCTCGCCAGGCGCGATAGCCGGCTCTCCGGGCCTCCTATGGCTGGGCTGAGGCGCCGAAAAACGCTCCGTTCACTTATCGAGCCAGCGCTGTCAGATAGGACCTTCCCACAGGAGATTTCGAAATGAGTAACGGGCCATTTGACACGTAACAATGCAAGCATACTGCTTTCTATGCCGTGTCTTTTGAAGCCCCCTTGAATAAGCTAGAAGCTCACTTCGCATTGAAGCTGGCATGGACGTAGGGCCATCATGAGAGCAGCGCTACCAGAGTCGCAGCCAGGGTCTTCTTAATCGATGACTGGAGCTCAGTTATCACACATCAGAGAAGCGAAGAGACAGTCTACGGTTTGAAAGTAAAAAATGCCGGCTTTAGGAGGCGGGGGGGGGGGGGGGCTAGCGTCCTTTCTCTTTATCACTTCGCCTCTGATGGCTTCCCAGGTACTATGCGTTAAAGTAGACGCTAGAGCAGTAAGAGCAGCAGTACAGCACTTGTAGCTAACAATGCTACCAAATAAATATATTCGTACGAAGGAATACCGACTGCGAGTCAGCGAAAATGGGGGATTAGATGCGTTGATATTTCGGCAGCATGCCTTTATCGAAATAGCGAATAGCGAAAGTAAAAATCTTCCTAAACCTAAAAGCCTTCCGGTGATCCTTCTCGTTTTTCAGTTTTTTTTTCAAACAGCGAGCCACAGTTTTCAGGTCATCAATAGGGAATTAAACTAGGAGCAATTGCCAGACATTACTTCGAAGCAGTGCATATTTAAAACAGGCACCACACATCACGCATCAATTATACATGTAAACGATTTCGATGAAACAGGCATTGCGCTTCTAGCGTCAGGCATCACTCATGCATGTAAACTATTTCGAGCTGGCTTGGAAGAACGACAATAAGCTAAAAAGGTCCTAGTGAAATGTTCTATCTGGAAGCCTAAGTGCCCGGTTGGCAATAGATGTCATTTATGCACGTCCGGGTTTCAAGGGGTTTGCACTCCACAAACGTGGTTTACGTGGTTTACATGTTTCACAAAATGAAGTGTAAGCTATGAAAAAACATGAAAGGGACATAGTCTTTGTCGGGGAATCCATGCACCCTATTCGTTTGAGATAAAATGAAAACCTGCAAAGTGCTAAAAACGAAAAAGGAAATACCCTTTTTGGTGACAATTTTGTGGTAAAACACGCTCAGGCTAAAATCCAGGGAGGCATGGACCCTATACCTCTTTATAGCTCAACATAATCTGCATAGCATGGGACCACCCAGAAAGGAAAATGAGTAAATCTGTTCTTATGAAAAGTCGGCGACTGCATCTTTGCGAACAGGGGTCATCATGCCCGATGATGCGGATGTGATATGTGCCTTGATGTGTGATGTGTGATGTGTGACGCGCGTGTTGCTTAGAATTGTTTACACGTTTGAGTGATGCCTGACGTGTGATGTGCGATGCCTGCTTAACTGACGTCGTGTGCACGCATAATTGATACGCGATGTGTGATTCCCTTCTTTTCTTGAACTCGCTTGCAGGTTTGAATAAGGTGTGCTGCGTGGTGCCTGTTTACTTCAGCTCGCATGCATGTACACCTATTTTTAGCGTGTTCTATTGCTTAGATGTGCACAGTATCGTACTAATGGTTGCTAATTGCTCCTTGTTTAATCCTCCAAATGTTGGTGACCTTTAAGAAATGTGGCATGCAGTCAAAAAAAGACACCCTGAAAAATCGAATGCTATCATCGGCAAGCAATTCAGAATTTACTTCTGCTGTTCGTTTCGATAGACATCTTGCCGAAATATCAACGCATCTATATCTCCAATGTCCTGTTTTTTACGAGGAACAAGGCTTTTATTGTTGTCTTATCTATGTGCACAATGTTCCTCGCAAATATACCCCAAACAACTCACGCAAAATGGGAATACGCTGAATACGCTACCTGCTTAAATACAAATATCTGCTTTTCAGTGAAGACGTTAGCTCTAGGCTTGCGATGTGCTCACACGTTTTGTATACGCCTGTAAATGCACCTACACCGAAAGCCCTTTGGCTCGTAACATTCAATAAGCCTGTACGAGAACGTAGCGCACATCCGCCCGGACTCGTCCGAAAACCGACTGGCCCCTGCGAGCGTCGGGTCCCTGCCGCCGCCTCAGCGGCTGCCCCTTGACCCCCGGCAAGTCGGGAGACCCGCGGTCACGTGACGCCCCCGGCGCCCACTCAGATGCAGAGCCTGAAAGACAGCGATGGCGAGGGCGCACATCTCGCACAATCACACCACAAAGCCAGAGAAGGGAAGACAAAGAGAAAAGAAAAAAGAGAGAGAGAGAGAGAGAGAGAGAGAGAGAGAGAGAGAGAGAGAGAGAGAGAGAGAGAGAGAGAGAGAGAGAGAGAGAGAGAGAGAGAGAGAGAGAGAGAGAGAGAGAGAGAGAGAGGAGAGAGAGAGAGAGAGAGAGAGAGAGAGAGAGAGAGAGAGAGAGAGAGAGGGAGGGAGGGAGGGAGAGGAGAGAGAGATTTTGCCTGCCTGCAAATTCTAAAAATGACCTCTCCATTAAAAAATGGCTGTTGAAAGCTTCTAGCACCGGGACCAAGATAAAGGAAATGAGGGATTTTCAGCGCTAGCATCTACGTCTCGAATACCATTTATCATCAAATATATGCATATCAAGCATGCTTGTTTCGATGATGTGGTCTAAACATTAGGTCGATAATATTTTGAGAACCAGACAGCGAAATGCACATCCTGATGCGTTGTGATCCGGGCATATGAAATCTTCATGATCATTATGGTTCTCATTTTTGGACACATGCTGAATTTACTTAGGACCGAGTCCAGCTGGGTCTTCACCAGCGGCGCACCCATTGTCTTTGTAAGAGTAGGCTAGACCTCCTGTTAGCCTGCCCCCTCCCCCGTCCACTCCCCTCCGGCTCTGGGGCCCGCCATTCCCAGCAAGCGGAGATTTCTTCTTTGTTGCTAGACGCAACGAAGCAATTTCGAGGCTGAGTGCTCCGGAGCTGTTAACTTGTTGAGACGACCAACGCTAGAGGTATCGATAATGAGGTCAATGCGGGGCACTTCTGTGTACGCAACTCGCTAGATCATGAGGCACCAAAAGCGACGTAGGTAACAGAAAAGCATTGCAAGAAACAGCAAGAAAATTAACAGATGGGGACTTCTTCACGCGTACCGCGGAGGAATGTCTGGCCCGTCTTGGAAAACGAAGGCCCTCCTTCCTTTTCACTGTCCGTTGAACGCGACTGGCCAACCATCGGACCTCCGCAGGGGGCCAATTCGCCCGCAGGAATCGAGCCACACCCTCTGGGTCGCCTGCACCACCGTCAGCGTCGAGATGTTGCCAAGGGCGGCCGACCTAGCCACCTTTTAGAGTTGACAGTCATATTTGAGGTGTTAAGCGTCCTCCAGAGACGTCCTCCAGACACTCCTGTCATGGGCTATCGTTATCCGGCCTGCCCCATCAGAATGACCAGATACGCCTCTTTGCTTTGATTGGCAGCGAAGCACGAGAGAGCGGGCATTGGATGGCGCTGAGCTGATGTAGCATCACTCGTTGGTGTCTGGACCAGCCATCCTCATGCTTTATCACTTGCTGGCCTTTGGACCAGCCATCCCCATGCTTCACACTTGCTGATGTCTGGACCAGCCATCTTTATGCTTCATCACTCGCTGATGTCTGGACCGGCCATCCTCATGTTTCGGGATGTGGAATCCGGTCATTCTTCAGTGGACTGGACAAGCTTGAGCAGCACGGCCATGTGGTAACAGACCCACTGCTTCTTCACGCACGCACGTCGGATGGCCGCTTTCGCCGAGGGCAGCGACCGCCTTCATCATCGATAGTTTGCGTTCGTATAGCTGGGAACCCAGACGACTTGGGGTTCTTATGCTGGATCCGTCTGGCCAGGGATGGTGACGGAACCTTCGAGATGATTTCCTCATCTTTTCTTAGTTTTTCCTTTCTTTAGTCTCGCCACTTCCTGTTCCTCAAGGGAGGAGATGTCCCTTACTGTTTGCTTTGGTGAGCGCAAATCTTGGCATGGCCCCAACAGGGCCATTCCGTGATTAGTCATGCACACACGGCGGCAACTTGGTCGACCTTCTCTTCGATTGTCCGGCTGCCGAACTGCACGTACTTTTTGCTGCCGCGCGCGCGACCGGCTGGACGAACTGCACATATGTCGTGCGGCGCGACCGGCTGGATGAACTGCTTGTCATCCTACGGATTGAAGACGAGCTTCAGCCCCACGTGTGGCCGGCCAGAGCCTTTACCACCTGGATCCGTGTCTCAGCTTGGTCTTCAGCTGTTCGACATGCGAGGAGAAGGTCAAGGTTCCTGCGTGTGGAAGGTCACGACGAAGAAAAATAGGCTGCTGACATGCCCCACCACATTATCGCTTCGCATCACATCACGCCATCGGGCCTCGGTGCCTTCTACTTCATGTAGCGAAGGGCCACCGTCTGCTGTGTCATGGAGTAAGTCTGGCAAGCCCTGCTCCACCAGTATGCTCGGCGCCCATATGATGGAGGTTGCCTTTTCCACCTCTAGATATCTGCTTTCTCTTGCACTCTTTGAGATGGGATCTGGGCGGTGCGTGTGAAGGTGCTCACTCTGGCATGATACTTGGCAAGCCCCGCGACTCTCTGTTTTGACGTCTGGATGACCTTAATGCACTTTCGCGTTTCTGACCACGCGGTGGGCATCTTTTAGCTTCTTACCTGGAACTTCGGTGTTTCGCTATTTGGGATGCCCTTATGGGTATTGCGGACCATCCCATGCCTGTTCACCCCATCTGTCGCTGAGCCGGACCGCTATGCCTGTCCATTTTTCGAGGTGGCGTGCCCGAGATGAGTTCCTTGGCTGCCTCAATATGTGCTCGGGTGGGGGCAATTTTGACCTTCAGAAGGTTTTTAAAATAACTT